ATACTCCAGCGCAATGGTGGCAAGCCTCTGGAATAAATTGTCCAGAGAAGCTGTGGATGCCCCCTCCCTTGAGATGTTCAAGGCCAGGTTAAATGAGGCCTTGAGTAACCTGGTCTAGTTGAGAGGCGTCCCTGTCCATGGTTGGATTAGATGATCTCTAAGGTCCTTCCAACCTAGGCCATTCTATGATTAATAGGATGGGACAGGTCTGCTTGAATGCTTCTGGTATGGGTTCTGGCCTTTGCTGTTGAAATTGTACAGGGTTGGGTTGATTTAGGTTATGCCTTTTTCGAAAAGAAATTGTGCTGGATCAGCAAGTAGCATGGCTCATGCCATGGCTGCAGAGTGCTTAGGCCTTTCGCAGAATTTAGAGGTAGAGCGAAGGAGAGCAGGGGATTATTTTGACATCATGATGTGATCAGCTTAGCATGTAGCTTAACATCACAGCTAAGCTGTATTAAAAGCCAGCGGCTGAACTGGTAACATAACACAGTGATCTTAAATTAAAGGGCCTGGTGGATGACGTGGATCCTCACCTAGCTCTTACCTCTCAGCCCAACCAGTATCCAGTGCTGTTGCTTCAGGTTTTCAGTTTGCTTTTCTTTCTTACTGGAGTAAAAATGTTTTTGGGTTCATATCTGACCTAGATATTTCTCACAGTTGGTGGCTGGCCTTCTGTAAATGATTCCTGAAAATCTACTTGAATTTTTGCTGTATTTCTCTGGCCTCAGTATTGAGGAGGAGATGGTCTTCTGCCAGCTGTGGAAAGGAGAGCTTGTTTTTCAGATGGTCCAGCTCGTATTCTACTTGGGTTATTTCTAAATATACCTATTGACTTCATTGTAATTGAGAAGTCAAATTTCCTAGGATTTTAAATAGAGCCAAAGGGTATGAGTTTTAAGGATCTTTTCTCTAACTATAGAAACATATTGCATACAGTTCAATTTCCAAAATAGCTGTCCTGTTAAGGAGCACTGTTCTTAGAGTATGTGTTGAAAAAGTTGCAATGTGCATATGGCTCTTCTCTTTCTTATTGCTTTCTGGAGGTATAAATAGAATTTGGTTTGTGATAGTGCAGGGAGAAATTTGCTCTTTGTATCCTGAAATGTGCCTTGTATGTGGCAATATGCAGAGGAAAGACTTTTGTAGCTGTAAACTCTGTAACCAGACTTAAGAAAAGCTGTTTCTTGGCTGGGATTTGCCTGGGCAACTTTGAGTTGACAACAATGTATCAGATGCCAGATAAAATTGTCATTCCTTCCTAAGTATGATTTATCAATGATTCTATCTGAGGGACCATAATGGTGTGAGTGACTTCTGTAGATAGCTTTGTAGAGGCTACTGTATAGTCTTAGTTAAATTGGAAATAAAATCTTTCTTTTTGCCTTACTGTAGCATGTTTAACAATTTTCTACAGTGATGTAAATAGAGGAAGAAATAAAAATGGATGAAATTGACAACTTAAACCCAAACAGCCACACAAAGAAAAACAAAAAACCCCAGGACTTCTTTGTGCAAAGTAACTTATTGAGAGGCAGGAGACAGGCTTCTTGCAAGTGAAGTATCCTTTGCAAATATTGTAGAAGCTTGAAAGACTCATTCTGCTGTATGGGGAGGCATATGAAATTCAAACATCTGTGAGCTTTAGCTTGCAGTGTGAGCCTGGCCTTTATGTGGTTGCTTCTGAAATGCATTCACTAGATGTGTAAATCCAAACAAAACCACAAGCATTTGAAGGTGGGGAAAAAAAAATAAATCTAAGTTTCATCCCAAACTAACAGCTACTTTTTGATGTGGTTTACTGTGACAGGTACTAAATAGCTCTGTAAACTGACATCTTTTGAAAACAGCTTTTTTTTACTTGTCACTCATTCTAGAAGACTGAATGGAAAGCCATATGAGAGATATCTTTGTAAAAAGACTGTGAAGAGTTCACAAAGAGTTGATAAGAATAAGTTTTCAATGCTCACCTGGAAAGTCTGTAAACTACCCTTCACTGTTCCTTTTCAGTACTTTTGAACTGGTTGAAATTCATGGAGAAAGAGTGCATTTAAGGTTGTTGTGAACTGATGTTTGGTTTGAGCACAGTCTGTTCTTCTATTTGGATTAAAAAATCCTGACAAGATAATCCAATTGAGATCATAATCTTGTTTATAGCTCTGACCTTGCATCACAGGAAATGCATTAGTCTTCAAGTGAGCACTGGTACACAAATGAAAAGTTTGTTTAAAGGAGTCTGTGGATGCCTCAGATGTTGTCTTAAAATTGAAAATGACAAATTAGGATTTATTTTAAGTTGCAGACTGAGGTAGAGGAGGAAATTCTAGAAGAGAATAGTCGCAGAAGCAGGTGCAAGAACTCTGGGTTGCAGGATGGAAAAAGGCAGATGTTGGCAGTGTGGTGTATGGTGGCTCTACCTCCCCAGCAGCTTGAAAAGGGGCTGCTTGTGCTGACTGGGGCTGAAGATGCTTTCCTTGTACTTTGGCAAAGTGGGTGGAGTACAGGAAGCAGGTGGGGTTTGGCTCAGTGGGAAAACTCATCTGCTGTCCTGAAGAAAAGAAGGGAAGCAGAGCTGTTAGAGCTCCTGCAGTGTTTTCCTGGATGGATCTTCCCTGAGAAGTCATGCCTGGAGCAGTTGCAGCTTCTTGGCCTGAATGCCCATGCATGGTGTAAATGGTTAGAAATCCCTGGTTGACCTCAATCTGTGGTAGATCAGCCTCTGCCCATCTCTGGTTTATGCTGCCCTGTTACAGTGGAAACTGAGATATACTGCCCTGTAACTCTTTGTTCTGTTAATGACTTGGCTCAGCTAGGGATATTTCATTGACTTTTTTTTTTTGAGTCTTTTTTTTTCCAGTTACTACTGAATTTTCAGTTTGAGTTGTTTTTTTTCTAGTAAGATGAATTTTATACTGGAGATGCAGTTTCTCTGCCAAGGTATAGGTTGTGTTATGGGAGTTTTGTCAGACATGCATTGTTTTGGTAGGGTCTAGCAATCTTGATTGCTTCTCGTCTCTTGGTGAATTTTGTATTCACCATATCTGTGGTCGCTCAAAGGCACTGCCAGGTAAACAAAGTTCATGAACATGTCTTTTAATATGAACTTGGTGTCTTACCATACAATAACTGGTGGTGCACTCAGTTGTCCACTATTCAAACTGATGATTATTAGTTTACTTCCTTGGGGCTACACTGACATGTGCTGGTAAGGCATATGCATGTACAGATCCCTCTATCGTGAATAAAGATTACCTGTTCCAAGAACTTTGGTGTATTAGGTCACAATTGGTTTTACCAGATAGAATGAAAACAAAGCCTGGCATTCTTTTGAAGAAGCTGGAGTTTCATTGCAAATCAATGAGGTGCCAGGCTTTGGGAAAGCTTTGGAGGTAGAATGGTCATTTGTAGATGAAGGAAGGTTAGAAGGAAGTTTTCTTTACCACTGGTGTTCGGTTTATGGTCACAGTTTTTCAGAGTGCTTTGAACTTGAGTGCTAACACAAAAGAACAGTTCAAACCAAGAACCTTAAGCATAGCTCTTGTTGTACAGTTAGGGAAAATTAAGGTGTAAAGGATAGTCGAAAGACCCACACTGGAGCATAATTCTTCTGTGACCTTGCCATGCCTGTAGGACTCTTCCCAGTTTACAGGGTGTATGAGTATGTCTATTGTGGGGGAGTCAGTTTTCTAAAATTAAGTATTCTTGGCTTTTGTTTCTAGGGTCACATGATTCTTTCAGCTACTGGGTTGATGAAAAATCTCCGGTGGGACCAGACCAAGCCACAGCCATCAAACGTTTGGCCAGAATTTCTTTGGTTAAAAAGATCATGAAGAAATGGTCAGTGACACAAAACTTGACTTTCAAAGAGCAGTTGGAAGGTGGGATCCGCTACTTTGATCTTCGTGTATCTTCCAAACCCGGGGAAATGGGACAAGAGATTTACTTCATACACGGCTTGTTTGGCATCAAAGTATGGGATGGGCTGAAGGAGATTAACACCTTTCTTGAGCAGCACCCCAAGGAAGTAATCTTCTTGGATTTCAATCACTTCTATGCCATGGATGAGAGCCATCACTTCTACTTGATCAACAGGATCCGCTCAGCCTTTGGATCCAAACTTTGTTCCGTTCAGTGTGTAGAGTATGTGACATTACAGTACATGTGGGAGAAGAAACAGCAGGTATGGAAAGGATGTGTAATGTTTTTCAAACCCCAAAGGTTCAGATTTAAATAGAGAGGCTGGGTGCAGTTCCCACTTGGAGATACTGACTCAAGAACACTGCTCACAGCCAATTTAAAGCCCACTAGGGCCTCCTTTGTGTAGTGTGCATGTTTCCCTCCATTTATTTGCAGCTGTGTAGCCACTCCATCCACAGTGTGACTAGACTCTGTCCTGCTCCCAAGCATGTTCCTTGAATAATTAAATTATGGTATCATCAGAAATTATGATAATCAGAAATTATGGTATCCTGGCAAATGTGGTTGCCAAGCCACTCTCCATCATCTTTCAGCAGTCCTGATTAACCGTGGATGTCCCAGTGGACTGGAGGCTGGCAAATGTAGCGCCCATCTTCAAGAAGGGTAGGAAGGAGGATCCTGGTAGCTACAGACCTCAGTGCCAGGAAAGGTGGTGGAACAAATAAGCTCAAGCACCATCACAGAACAATTAAAAGCCAACAGGG